TTTTTTTTCAGAAAAAAAGGTAATAGGTTGCGATTTTAATATAAAAAATTTTTCGACCATAAAGAAAATCATAATAATAGCATGAGCAGTAATAATACTGTTATATAATTGATTATCCGCAATATACTGAACACCAGGTCCTGACAGCTCTAATCTTATTAAAACAGAAAAAGCAGTTCCAATTAAACCTGCAAATAATGCATATATTAAATATAATACACCGATATCTTTGGCATTTGAAGATAAAAATCATCTTTCAAATCACATACTAATCCCTGATGTTTTTATAGTAAGGTTATTGTATTTATTATTTTTAGATAATATAACTTTGCTTGTAGAAAAGCTATTAATAGATGGGGAGCAAGGAGTCACATTTATCTAAAAAGTAAATGTAGGTATATATCCTATTCATATAAAATATATTACTAAAAAAGTTCATTTTACTACACTTTTTATTGGAGAGTTATAGTAATAAAAGGGCTAGTTTATCTTTTTTAAGCGATAAACTGTGTAATTTTATTACAATTTACTATAGTTATAGTAAAAACTTCTAAATTTACAAGATCCACACATGGTTATAAAATAAATTAATTTACTTCATAAGTAGGCTAGCTGTTGACTTATAAGGTCATATGCTGTACTATGATTTTTTATTGTCCCCTAATTCTTTTTAGCCCCGGGGTCTAAGAATCCGGAGAACATATTAACTTCTCCCGGTTATGGAGGAATACTTCCATTTTTTAATTTTTTTAAAAATGGGTATTCAAAATAGGTTAATATAGTCTAAAAAATAATAGAAGGGGATTGCCGATTTATTGGCAAATTATTGCTAAAACCCCTGTTGGGATTAGATATTTTATAATATGATTTAGTAGCCTTTATAGCTCAATGGTAGAGCGGAATACTGTTAATATTCTGATAAATGTTCGATTCATTTTAAAGGCTTTCATTGTTTATAAAATACTTATGTCTACTATTTTTGCAGTTTAAGTGAATTCCAACAGCCTTTTGGTTTAATAATTTAATTTCCGATGCCGGAGGTATAATTCTATTTCAACCATTGTTACAAATAATTATAGAGCAGCCTAAAGTTTTATAATTAGATGAATAGTTCACCTATAAACTTTTTTCAGAATAATTTAAGGGGTAATTTTTACTATCTTTTATTCAATAAGTAAGATGTGTAAAAGGGGA